GGCAGACTCTCGGCTGCGTGTCGGCAGACTCTCGGCTGCGTGTCTGCAGACTCTCGGCTGCGTGTCGGCAGACACGTGTTCTGACAACTCTGGCTCTGTGATGTCTGCCAGATTTGGTTTGATTTTGAGTCTCTTTGGGGGAAGAGTTGGCAGATTCAAATTGGTGAAGTTTGTTTGGTTAAATAAGTTTTATCATAACTGGCCAGACTATGGCACTCAGATTCAGGCCGAGTGACTTCCTCTGGCCTCCTGGGCTTGGGCCTCTGCAGGGTCAAACCATCTTAGCTACCTTGGTCAGCGTGATCCAGCCACCTTTCAGTCCTGTTTCCAGAGGGATGATGAAGTTCACACTTCTTGACATGACATGAATTCACAAATGAAAGTCTGATTTTAGGGTCCCTTCAATCTCAGAGGTAAGAGGGTTTATGCGAGAGTTAATGATTCTCCGCGGACAGCAGCTTCTTCCTGACAGGTCAGCTGATTTCAACCAGCAGTCGGACACGGTTAAAGATTCCTGTACAAAACATGACTGCAAGGACATCCTGTTTTGAATCCTGGCTGTAAGGACTTCCTGTGCTGGTGGTGGGGATGGCTGACAGGTGAGGCCACCCGCTCTGATGGTGTTTTTATCGTTTCAGTTTCATTGAAACAACAAAAAGGGTAAAAAAAACACAAAGTGACACGAGGTGAACGCTGAGCGTCGCTCACAGAATCCAACAGTTCAAACCAGGCAGTGTAAACATGCCTTCATCCTCCTCCTCTTCTTCAGTAGTCTCTCTGCTCCTCCTCCTCTGTGTTGAAGGAGGCTCTAAGCAGAGTTCAGGTACTCCAGAGCGACTTCGTAACAGAACTTATACTGTTCCTATGGAAACACAGACATCACATGTCATTCACATTTTAAAAAAGAAACACTTTTTATTACACAGTATGGTGTAAAAACAACTCAGTATCCACTACGGTCACTGGACACTCCACGTGTTCAAGTTCACCATCACCTTCTGTTTTCCTGAGGTACAGCACAGCTTGGACTTATGCTTTGGGTCATTATGTTGCTGTAGGATGAACCCCTGATCAACTAGGTGCATACAGTGTTTGTACTATGTGCTATGCTTTCATGTCAGACTGCAATGAGACATTAAACTGCATAACTTTCAATAAAAAAATGGAAAAATTGGCGTGTCCTAAAACCTTTGACCGGTAGTGTATGTTTATAGAATACAATAATTATTATAAAACATGACAGAAAATTATGAATAATAATAATCATAATTATAATAATCATTATATTAATAATAATAATAATAATAATAATAATAACAACAACAACAATAATAATAATTATTATAATAATTATATTAATTATTATAATAATTATAATAATTAATATAATAATAATTATAATAACAATAATAATAATATATTATTATTACTGAGAAAATGTTCCTATATTTTAGTCTTAAAAAATACAGTCATGGATTCAGTGTTAAGTTCCTCTTTGATTTTCTGTAAAATTAACCTTTTTTCATTTTAGTCATGAAATACAAATACAAAATAATTTGCTAAACCACTGAAGAAATGGAGAATAGAAATAATAATTATTATTAAAGTTAAAGCGAGCCAGTGTCTGTGATGAAGGTTGGTGGTTACCAGCAGGTCGACCATGTTTGGCTTGTTGTTCCTCAAAGTTTTTACAGCGTGAAAAACGTCAACGCAGCGCTGCTGACGCAACATCTCACACACGATACTGATACTGCAGAACACGCCACTGCGACCACCGCCATTCCTGAGGAGGAGACAGGAGAAAGGAGACCTTTGACTTTTGAGTTCTCTGTCAACAGTTACATAAAGTAGCACATAAAAATATTACTGCATATATTCACAAGAACACCCCTCAAAAACAAAAACATTTACAGTTGTCATAAGCCAAGAACAAGCGAATCATGTACACTGTACACAAGACAAACAGAAATGAAATGATCCACACCTGCCACCATTATATAAGTAAATTCTATCATAACACATGCAGACACCAGACCTTTGAACATAAGTTGTAAATCTGTAGACCTTTACATTTTGTTTCTGCAGGTTAGCCAGATTCCCCTTTTTGCCCAACCCGTAAGAAAGCTGCAAAGATAAATCTGATTCCATTGTGCTGCTGTTTTTGGGACCATAAATGAACACTGTATTCTCCAGCACCTGTCCATATCCAGCCAACCACTGTTGCAGTAATGGCAAGAGAAGAAGCCTGGGAAATGTTGCAGGGTGTGCTCAGCTTGACAAAAAGCACAGTTACCCTCTACACTCGGTCCATATGTGCAACATGTCTGGTTGTGGCCATGGCCCCATGGACCACCCACCACCGAAGATCCACGGTGTGTTTCTCCACGTGAGGTCTGTACAAGGATTTCTAGCTACCTCTGGGAGAACCTGCTGCAGAAATACTACATCGACTCCGGAAGGTCTTCTTTGATCCTTTAGGAAAATCTATCATTTTGGTGCCCTAAAAGACCAAAGCCTACTTCTTAATCTACAGCAACACTGGGAAGACAGCGAAACCTTCCAAAACACCACCTTTTGTGCTCCGAACATTTTACTGTGCCTTTAAATGAGTTTTCCCCAATTTCTTCATCCTCAACTTAGAATCTTTTCAGTGTGCTCAACTGTTCATAGCTGACCACTCTCCTTATCTTTAGAACTGATTTTATAAACTCATCAAGATCTGGAAAATAATCCGTAGACTGTCCTCCAAATGTTCCATCTTAAAATGAGTTTATGTCTTGTAAGGAGTAGGATTGCTGATGCTCATCTTGTGAAACAATATCAGAAAACTGTGATGAGGAATCGTCTTCAAACAAGTTCAAAGAACCTGCACCTCACCTGTCCTTGCCTCTGTCTGTTCACTGTTCACAGGAGGCGAACCCTCACTGGGGAGGGACGCCATGGCTCAAACTGGCCAATTAGCTAAACCTGCTCACTCTACACAACACAATGAAATAAACCTGTCTTACCTTGTAACTAACCAACTAACCATTAAGTTTGGGCGATTTTTCCAACCGACAGTCATCAGTCCAATAAATGACAACAGGCATTTGTTCAGACTTTTTGATGTGTGGACTGATTTGTGCCTTTAGAACTTATATTCTGAATCTCCTTCAGCAGCTCCACAGTCATTCAATGACTCACACTCCCAGCATGCAGTGTAGGAAGGAGAGGAGACCTTTGACCTCTAACACACAATGCTTCAACTGACAACCATAACTGAAAATGAATGCCAAATCAACATATGAACAACCCTCCCCTCCCACCATCAACCCCACCCAAACACAATAAACACAAAAATGAAGACAGAAACAGAAGACACTCCATTTGGCTTTTTTCAAAAACTCAGAACTAAATTATTATCAGTTATTTTACACAAAACTCCATTAATTCCCCTTCAGTGTTGGACAACATCTTATAAACAAACTCTACTTTCAAACGTGCACCTACTGACCCTTTAAGCATAATTGCTAAATTAACAGATCCTGTTCCCTTCATTCTGTTCCTCCTTGAATGCCATATACTCATCTTAGCCTGACCTATTAAAAAATGAATCAAGCAAACCTTCCTACGCTGCGCTGCAGAGTACCTCGGACCCAGGATAAAGAGACCCTTCCAAGGCCAGCAAGCCAATGGCACAGCGATGAAAAAAGGCCAGATAGCCTTGGACAGCCAAGCCACAGGTGCTGCAGTGGTTCCTCAGTTGGACATAAAGACAGTGGTTCCCTGTTCTTAGATCCATCACTGCCCTGCTGTCCTCAGGCCTGCCAGCTTGGTTAGACCAGCATTTATGAGGAACCTCTGCACACTAGCAGTGCTGAGCTTTCTACTTGGTATCAAGGGATTGTAAAAAAGAGGCTCCTCACCAACATCACCATAAAATTGTTTTTAAAGTACAGAGAGACTGTTCTCAGTCTTCCAAGCAGTCAAAACAGACTGGTAAAGAGCAGAGGTCTGCAAAAGGTCCATGCCAGCTAGGTCTATGAGAAACAGGTGCTTGTCATATGTAAGGTCCTTTATTCTGTGAAGCAGCGTAGATGCAGTCTTGAACCAGGGTGGTTGTTGTCTTTGATAAAGATAACGCTGTGCTGTCTGAAGACGAAACGCTGTGATGTGGCTGTGAAGGTCAATCAAACTCTGACCCCCCTCTGACACAGGTAGAGACAGCACAGCAGACCTGGTCCAGTGAAGCCCTCCCCAGAAGAAATTAACCAGTCTTCTTTGTATCTCCTTGATAAGAAAAACAGCGGCACGGTGCCAGAGTACAGAAGCAGCCAAGATGTTAACAACCAAAGTCCTCCCCCTGTAGGACAACGGTGGCAGGACCCAAGTCCATCGAGACACCCGGGCAGCAATGTTTTCAACAACACCCTGCCAGTTCTTCCCCTGAAAGGCATCAGTCCCCAAAAACACTCCCGAACACTTCAGTCCCTCCCTGGTCCACTGTAACACCGGCTCCTCTTCATCAACCCACCCTCCCAACATGAAACCTTCACACTTTGACCAGTTAACCTTCGCGGAGGATGCTCGCTCATATAAGTCCAGTGTCTGTCTGAGTGTTTTAATATGGTTATAAAAACCGTAACATCATCAGCATAAGCTGACAATTTTACTGGACTTCCTGCTTCTTCAAAGGTCAAACCTGAGTCCCTGTCTAAGATGGTGTGAAAGGGGTTCAATGGCCAGCGCATCCCTGCCTGATGCCCCTCTGAGTTGGAACAGGCCGACTTAACCCTCCCCCACCTTTACCATGACAACAGTGTTTGAATACAACAGTTTGATCCAAAAAATGAAAATGTTCCCAAACCCAAAAGCTTCTAAAGTTTTAAACAAATAGTGGTGATCAACTCTATCAAAGGCCTTTTCTTGATCCAGAGATAAAACCACCACATCCAAGTCCCTGAGCTTGGCCAGATCAATAATGTCTCGAATTAAAAACAAGTTGTCCATAATAGTCCTTTCAGGGACACAGTATGCTTGATCCACATCAACAATCATGTCAGGTCTTCAACCTGTTAGAAAGACATTTTGCAAGAATCTTGTAGTCTGTACAAAGCAAAGAGACAATCCAATGTTGGAGCAAGCCCAGGTCCACTTTCTTTGGCAGTAAAGTCAAAACTGCCCTCGTGCAACTTGTTGGCAAGATCCCAGTGGTCATACAGTATGTGAAAACCTCATGAATGTCCTCTCCTAGCAGCAGCCAGAATTCCTGGTAAAATTCCACAGGAAGACCATCAGCTCCTGATGACCGACCACCGTTGAGTTGTTGAACCGCTGAAGACATCTCCTCAAAAGAGATAGCAGACTCCAACACAGCCGATTCAGCCTCATCCAGCCGCGGCAGCGCCTCCAGTATCCTCACAGTCAGGGTCACACGGGTCAGCACTAAAGAGGCTGGCATAAAAGTCAATGGCGAGCTTCCTCATTTCTACTGGGTCAGATGTTACCTTCCCATCTGGGAGCCTTAGGTGCAACATTTGGTGTGATTCGCAAACCCTTTTCTCCAGCTTGAAGAAAAAATCTGGTTGGGGCATCTATTCAATAGTAGAAATTCGAGTTCTTATAAGAGCACCTTTTGCTCTTTTGTGGAGAAACTTGCCTAAAGCCTTCCTCCTACTGCCCCAGGTACTATTTGTCTTATCTGTCCCACTCATGATCTTATCCTCTAGCATCTTGAGCTCTCGTTCTAAGTCCTCAAAGCAGTCTTTAACCGTGGCCGTTGCATGTGACGTGTATTGTTGGCAAAAAAGCTTAATCTGCGTTTTCCCCACCTCCCACCATTCAGCCAAATTGCAAAAGTAATTTTCCTTAGTTTCCAGTGACACCAGAAGTTAGAAAAAGCTCGACAGAAGTCTTTGTCATGAATCAGCTGCACGTTAAAGTGCCAGCCTGAACAAATGTTAGAGTGCATCAATAAGGAAATATCTGCAGTCACTAAATGATGATCAGAAACCAACAGGTGAAATCTCTGCCTTAACTAGTCGATTATTATACGTCTGATTGATACATAATCAAGCCTAGCTGCTATTAAACCCGATTCTTTGATCCCCATGATAGCACAGAGAAAACCCGACTGAGTGGTCCAAACATTTATAAATCTTTATTCAATCATCTACCCGAAGAGAGAGCCCCGCACAGCCCAAAGCCAGCTGCAGGATCTCTGACATTAGAAGCTAAACATGTGTCTCATATAGGTGTTATTTTGGTCCTTTACACGTCACACAGCCTCGATACAAACAACTCCTGCTGTGTTACTAGCTCCGCTTTTTCTGTCTGGTTTCCTGTATTTTATTAATATGCCTCTGCAGCTCTGCACTAAACTTCCTGTTTTTCAGTCTGGCTGAGCACTTGGTTTATGAGTCAAAACTGCTTTACAAGCCTTTATTATTAAAATACATAAAACAATATAATCAAAAAATAAGCACTAACAATATATATTTATCTTTAACACTGCCTCCACATTGCCCCAGAAACGTTCACATATGTGTCTTCTCTAGCTGTGGGGAGCTTTCTCCACAGATCAGTCAGAAAGATTGTGGATAAACGTGAGCCGAAGGTGGGTGAGGCTCTCCTGTGTTTCTGTCAACTGGAGGGTGTGCAAGTCCAGTCCCCTCCCACCACTATTGAACCACTATGTAATGGTGATAATTTATCATTGATTTTACGAAATAACCTCACACGACCTGCAGCTGAGTTGTGGGCGTGTACATTCATAAAGCAAAAGGTGTTCCCTTGATGGTTGCT